AACTTTGGCAATAACATTACAATCATGGCAGAAGGATTTAAACTATCTTGTTCTTATCAGTTATTTGTCTCTTCACTCATACCTGAGCCTTTTCTTGTACTGCCATGACTCTTGCACAAGGAGCAGGTTGCATAATCACCAACTGTTTTATTCTCCATCTCCTTGGTAAATAATCAAATCTAAAGATGTTAAAATTTTGCCTTCAAATGCAAATGCATTAACCTGACATTAAGAAACTCACAATCTGAGTTCTTTGTATCAGACTTAATTGAATGATGAAACAGAAAAAATTACACATTGGAAAATGTTTCTTAGAAACAGTACCTTCACGTATACAACCATGGGTAGACACTGTCAAAATAGTATGTTTTTTAAATGCCAGCTGCATAGTGGTGTAGTTGCATTGTCACTTACAGTAGAGATTACTTGTAGGTAGAGATAAACATAGAGCTACTGAGGGGGGTATTGGTGGTCTTCACACAAGAAACCCTAGCATAATGTAATAAGAGTTTGTATGGAGTTGATATCAATCAATGCGTTAGTGATCAAAGAATAAAGTTCTTTTAAATGAGCTATGTCACATTTGAGCATCTTGAAAAGTTTAGCCTAAATTTTTCAGGTTAGTCGTTTGTAATCTGCGTCAATCTATCCCATCCTCAACCATCCTTGTTCCTTTATGACGGGGGTGAATAGGGGTATGCAAATCTCCCGATCCATGCCTTTTTTCCACCAAATCTGTCGATCTGCCAATATTTTTGTTCAAATCCGAAACCACAACCCTATCTGGAAACAGAAGTGTAAAAACTGGTAAATGTGAATGCCACTGTTAATTTCACACAAATAGAAAAGAAGACAACCTGCTTGATGACTATAACACAGTACAATTCCAATAACAGTCCAACACCTGAGTTTAAATGAGCTTTGTTTGAAAAAAGAAATAATTTGGATGAACTCATTAACAAACCGACCAAGACTGAACAAAGATATATGATCCAAATTTCATTTAGGACCCAAGATCCGAACATCAAGACGGGCACAATCCAGAATCCGCGCCAAAATTCATAACTAATCCACAATCCACTGTGTTTTCAAAATCCGCGAATCCGCTTGATTTACCGCAAAAATCCACAATTTATGCACTTTTTAAGGCCAAATCTGTCAATCTGAAAGCCCATTCACCCCCCTCCTTTATGGTTTATTGTAATCTTTTGGTGTTTTTCTATCTTACATGTAGCAAACTACTATTCTGAGGTTTCCTTCAATTTAAAGGCAATTTTTGTGCATGGCCAAATCACTCAAAATGCCGTGACTGAGCTCCTTTAAAACAGTGTGTGGTGTCATTTCCTCTCAACCTGGAGTGTTAAAGTTTCCTGACATCTTCAATGCATACCCACATTGTTATAGTCATTGCTTTCAAGAAACTACAATATAGG